CCCTCCCTCTCCCTCCCCCCAGTTACGTATTTAACTATTCACCTCAACAACACTCATTCACGCACCGTGTCACTGTCATCTCTCCCCAGTTCGGCAACGACACCTTCAACAAAGGCCGCATCATGAATGCAGCATTCCGGGAGGCGGTCAAGCTCTTCGACTTCCAGTGCGTCACATTCCACGACGTGGACCTGGTGCCGGAGGATGACCGGAACATGTACTCCTGCACGGAGCAGCCCAAGCACATGTCCATCGCCATCGATAAATTTTCTTATGTGTAAGTAGAAGCTGTTATTGAAATTTTATTGTTCCACCCTTCTTAAAAACAGGTAAGATTATTAATTGCTTTGTTTTAGTAAGTGTTTTACGGCACTTGCAACACAATGAGGTCATATAAGTGCCGAAGATTAGAGGTGTTACAAGAGAGTAACAAACAAAAAAGAAGGAGGGGAGATAAAGACGATAGATAAGATTATTTAATGAAATGCCCATCTTCAACTGGACCAAGTAATGATAAGGAAACTTTATTTATACACTCTGAGTGCTTTACATCGATGGCATGTTACCTCACGTAAGACCATAACAAAGTCAGACTATAATTACAATTGTATTTTGCTTACACAAACAACATCAGACTAAGAACCGTCTAACACACACATAGTGAAACACGCTTGTAACGAATATGCACATAGCAAAACAAGAACATAGTGAGCACACTGATAGTGAACAAATTTTCAGGGTCAGAATTTTCGTTTATACATGTCGTAAATTCTTTGTATATCAAATATATAAAACACGTAACAGAAAAATTCATGCATAACGAAACGATATCGTCATCTCGCCGATTTTGCTGCATGTATGTTAAACTGTTTCATCTTTTTTTTTTCTTAGCATTGGCCCAATTTTATAAACTAATTTTTTATTTTTTTTTAATATTTTGTACAGACTTCCTTACCAGGGCCTTGTCGGAGGAGTCTTGTCCTTCCGCAACAGTCACTTCCAGCTGGTGAACGGCTACTCTAACATGTACTGGGGCTGGGGCGCGGAGGACGACGACATGACCACACGGATCCTGCACAGGGGGCTCCGGATATACCGGCCGCCCAGCAACATTGCCCGCTACAAGATGGTCAAGCACGACCAGCGGAAGATTTCAGAAATGACTGTCAGGTAGGGTAGCATGTTTGGTAGTGTGTGTGGGGGGGGGGTGTCTGCTGGCAGGAGAAATTATGTTCTTAAATGTTGCACATTGTTGTTGTTGTTGTTGTTGTTGTTGTTGTTGTTGTTTTTGTTGTTGTTTTTGTTCGTTGTTGTTGCCGTCCTTGTCCTTGTTGTTGTTGTTGTTGTTGTTGTTGTTGTTGTTGCTTTTGATATTGCTGTTGTTATTGTTTAACAATCCAGTTGTGGATTAGAGTTTAGATTAGCTGGTGTGTTCTAGGGTTTATTCTTCTTTGTTCTTTCTGTCTGTCAGTTTTACCTTCAAAATCACTTTGTCAATATCAAGCAACTCTTGGCAAAAAAGTGGGAATTTGTTTTAAATTTGGTGATGGCTTGAACACATGGAAGTATGCTTGTCTGAGTAAACCGAGCAGACAGACTGATAAGTTAATAAACTGTCATTAAAGAAATTGAAGGCCTGAATAGTGAATTACACTCAGCCCTAAAGAGTTTAAGATGAAATATAATAGACAAGATAAATAAATGATTGCGTTAAATCAGATGCAAGCTAAAGAGAAAAGAGAATGCATAATTATTAATTGCTGTACCTGAATCTTGGAATGTGTTAATTTTATACCTTATACTAAAGCTGTTTTCTTTTTTTCTCCCCCACCTCTTTCTTTCCAGAATGAAGCTGTTGCGATCAGCCGCCCGGCGCAGTAAGCTGGAGGGACTGAACAATGTCATGTACAAGGTGTTGTTTACACACAAGGAGAAGCTCTTCACACATTTTATGGTGGATATAGGCAAGCCTTGACACAGGCCTCATTCCTAGACAACATTGAAATTGTTAATGTATTTATTTATGCATGGTTTTGTGAATTTAGAAAGAAGGAAAATGAGCTGTGTACCTGTATAATTGCGAAAATGGAATGGATCATGTTGTGTGGGGTTGAAACTGAATGTGCTGTGTGGCCTTTTGAAACATATCGTCAATGCTTTCCCATAGATTAACCAATAATAATTGTAAAGATAAGGACTGCTGTGTGCATTGCCTGAAGCTTGCTCTAAGTGAGAGGAAAGATGATCCAGAGTTTTTCTCCTTAACATCATTGATGATGTTCTTGAAATGAGAGTGACTGCACATTCATGTTCGTTTCATCAAGAAAACATTTTAAGGCAGAGATTAAGGGCTCCATGGTAAAACAGAATGTAACCATTTTCTACAAAACTGAGAAAAAGGGAGAAAATTCTCTGAAAACAAAAGTATGAACAAGATATAATTTTATCCTACTAAATGTCGAGGGACACAGTAGGCTACATTTTGAGAAGAAAAAAACAGTTCTTCACGTCAACTCTTATCATAAGATCATGGACTGGACAGGGTCATCCAGAAATGCCCAGGTTTGGCATATTGTGCGTTTTGTAAAAGAACCGTTCAAAAAGAAAACATAATGTTTTTGATGGTGTGCATTCTGTCTCATTCGTATTATAAAAAGTTAAGTGTGTTAGTGGCAGTGAGATTATGTATTTCTCTTGAAAAGAAGGATGGCCACTTTGCTCATCATACCTCTGCATGCTTTTGAGATACTGGCTCAGTATTTGTATTTCAAATTTTAAAAAGAAAATTAATGTTTGATTGTAGATGAATGTTGAAATGTGTCAACTTCTTCATCTTCATCCAGTCCTGTGTCATTCCATGCTTTAAAAGAGCTTCTCTGCCTCAAAATGACATTAGAAAAGAAATTGCTCCTTAAGGAAAAAAAATGTAGAACATAATATAGATTTTGTTTTCCAGTTCTGCTGCACCAGAGTGGTGGCGAAACACTTTCTCTGTTGTGCCTTGTCATTTCAAGGCACGCTAGGTAGAGGCTGATAGCAACAAAATTTTTCTGACGTCTCTCTCTTTCTCTTTGAGAGAATGGATAGATGTCCTGTGCAATGCAGCCAGTTTATACCAGATCTACTTGAGAGCTGGTCAAATGATACGGGAGTCCACCCCACTTTGCAAAGGTCTGAGCATAATGGTGGAGGACCCACACATTTTTTTTGTTGTATCTTTGATGTGCTCAGGCCGGTACATGGAGTACTTGAAGTTGCAGACTGCAGACTTTGAGTTCTATCTAGTCTGTGATACATCAAATGCAAATACTGTGTGTCTTTCTCCTCTGTGGAGAGAACTATGTGAGCATTATAAATGGCTGTTGTGTGCATAAAACTGCTTCATTCTTAATGTACCTAACCATGTTTCATGTTGCAAACATTGGGGAGCAGCATGTCCCATTGTAATCACTAGCTGTTTTGTTGGCTCTGGAAAGAACTGTGCCTGTCATGGATGTACATACAAACATTGAGTGTTTTGATTAAAACAATGGAATCTTTCATTTCCAGTAGTTTGCTCAAATTCCCCTCCTAACCAGGACGTATTTCTTTTGTGTCTTTTGCTTTGTTTCTATCGTTTCATCATACAAATGTGTGGATTGTACGAATAATTTGAGTTGGGAATGATAACGGATCAATGACTTTTTCTCATTTATCATGCTTTTTCCTTCATCTAAGGATAACAATCAAGAGAGAAATAATTGTAATTTTTTTTTAATCTTTTTTTTTTCTTTACATTGATATTCAGTGCTGCCAAAGAGAATGTTTTAAATGTCTGTGTTTTGTTATGTTGCTAATATTAAGAAGGCTAGTTAGTAATAATGATCATTATTTATTATTAATATAAGAATGTTAATTTTGAAAGTAGGAGTTTTTGGCTTTAGTGGCACGTCCAAATTTAAGCACAGTTTAGTCAGACAGGATTGATTGTGTTATTCTGTGCTGGAAATGTTCGCCTCATCTTGAACTCTAAAACTTGTAAAGTAGTATTTGGATTTGGATTCCATTTCATTTTTTGAGTCCTGCTTGCGATCAAGGAAGATTATTTTTTTATAGTTGTCAATGTAGGAGAGATTGCGACATTCATTAAAAGTCTATCCACTATTTATACTTTTTCTCACTTTTGTTTTATTTATGATCATGTTTTGTTAGATCACAAGGCATTGTATATTATATTCCTTTCTTCCGACATTTTTGTTCCTTCTTTTTTGTTTCTTTCATCTAATTTGTTCTTGCTAGACTATCATATTACCTTCCTGATGCATATACTGCTGGCTTACTTTTTTTATTCACTGTTTAGGAAATTTCAAATAAACTATCTTCAACATACCTCTTTGAGAATCTCATTTAGCCAGGTCCTTTTTACAGAAACTTTGCAGGGGTTAGATTCCAAGAAAACTAAGTTTGCATAATGAGATATCTCTATCAACTTCATCAAAATAATTGCATTTTTTATTTCATCTGTTCCTTTTGTGTTTCCATTTGTTTGTACGTGGCACTCTCCTCAGTCTGACAGGGTTGTGTCAAGTGTTACGTTGTGTCAGTTTTAAAGTTGTCATCAGGAATGGAAGATGTTTCAAAGAGTAGAAAGTTGCAGGCTGACTGTTTTTGGATAAAGCTCTGATACCTTTATTTTGCACTCGCAAAATTGTTCTTATTTTCCCATGCTCTTGAAGGTGATTATATAAGGTTCAATTCTTGTTCATTTCATTGATTCATTTACCTGTTAATTTCTGCTGTCGATCTGTTCTATTTTTAACTACTCAGTACGTGCTGGGCTTTATACTTTCATCCTGATCTCTTCTGTTCCATAATCAATGTACAAAGTGCAGCTAATTTCTCAGCCAAACAAGGTGTTTAGATTTGTAACTTGCTCCTACAGGTTAGGTTTTTGTCCAGCCTCAAGAAGGAGAGCTATGAAGTACCAGTACACGTAAAAGTAGGCCTATAGACATTATTATTTTAGCTGATCTCCTCTTGAGGGTTTCTTCTATCACTTCTGACAATTTTTGTCCAGAAGCAGACATGAACTCTTTTGCTGGGCACTAAGTAGAATTTCAAAGACTCCACAGCTGCTGTACTGAGTTGTACAGCGTGGGGTTTTTTGGGGTTTTTTAAAATAATATGCTGACCAACTCACGCTAGACGACTGTTTCTCTACCACCGACCTAAGATGTGGGCTTGTGTCTTCATTAAGTTTTGTAGGTCTTTATTTTCATAAAGTACCTCACTTTCAAAGTGAAAGGATCTCTGAGGATCATATCGTATAATGTGAACCTTCAAAAGGTCCTGGAAAGTAAGTTTTCAAATCTGCCATTAAAAGAAATTAGATTTTTAAGGAAATAATTTCATGCAAGGAAGGAAGATTTAACTCAAGAATAGATAAGTAATATTAGAATACTTTTACATTGCTGCTTGTCAGAATGATGGCTTATCAGCAAACAGATAGATCTGTGTTTGGTACGGAATAAGTCAAGGAAAATCAGCTCGGCTTATCCTACTTTTATTTTTTCTTAGAACCATAGATTTGATTACACGTTCTTGTATCATTCTTGATGCTCGTTGGCTCTTGCTCTCAAGTAGGATAAGACTGTTTGCCCCCACCAGAAACTATCCTGTCTGTGGTATAATAAAATATTTCAACCCACATAATGTCTTTCCACATGGTGCACAGTTACCATCACTTTTGGTAAATACACAAAGATAATGACGTGTTCCACTGTATCTTTTCTTGTATTGTTTAATGCCAAATTCTGCTGGTGTTCGATGAAAGACCAGTTTGTTCTATAGATAATGTAAATTATGCCAGGTACGGTTACCTAGTTAGCAGTAGAAATAATTTCAACCCTAATAGTTTGCAATTCATTGTTGAGCTGTCTTCTGTTTTGCTTCAACGTTAAGTAATATGCTTACAGTTCTCTATGGAGTTTATTCCTACAAATATTTAGTTAGTTGTAATGTTGCTCTTATGCACATCTGGTATACCACACATCATACAACAAAGGTCACTGAATGAAATTGAAATGGAATATGAGCTGCAAAATGAAACGTCTGTTAAATTATATGATTTACCTTAGAGAATAAGAAAAAGAAACTTTCTTGTCAAGAGGAGAGTTAATCGGAGCAATTTTTGTTAAGGGGGGAGGGTGTTACATTTTTTTTCATGCACAAAAATGAATTTCAGCGCTTTCCAAACATCTCGAAATTTTCAAAAAGGGTGAAATAAACAATTGCCAGGCACTGCAAGAAACACCTTGTTGTGATATGTGGGGACATGTGAAATGAAACATAACAGCATACTTTCTGATGACCGTTTATGTTTATCAGTCAATATGGATATGTCACGCAGTTTTCATTCAGTTGTCACTGAGAACTGCTTGCTCCTATAAAAATGTGCCATAAGAGTAATATTCCTGTGTTAGAAATGTGTTAATGCTTTCAGTCATTTAAGCTATGTATAAATGTGTGATATAGACTGCTTCGGATTCTATCAATGTCTATAGATTATATCCTTGTTTTAATGCCGCCTGTGTTGAACTTCAGCTGAAAATGAGCTTTGTTCTGTTACATGCAATAAATCTGATCATCTTTTTGTGTTGTTTGAGTGTCGTTGGGCACTGAAATTTTGCTGAACTGATTCGCTGCTTTTGACTGGAGTTCTTGCACGGCCAAGTTTTAACCCGTGAGATGTCGAAGAGTGTTCTCACCAGCACTACTGTATTGAGCATTGGGTGGGCCAGACCGACACCGACAAAAGAGTATGTTAGTGCAGGCCTGGGGGGACTCAAAATAGTAAACAGTTGATACTGAGCAAGATTCACACAGGATTGTCAAAATGTTTAGAACTGAGTTGCGAGATGGCATGTCCTCAGGTGTACCTACAAAAAATACTACCCATGGCAAGCAATAAAATTATTCGTCCCCACATTAGAATCACTGTGCTTGAACATGCATCCGTTTGGTTGTTGAAGGGGTGAGTCAGAACTCTTGGTTCGCTTGTGACCCCACCCCCTAACATTCTCCCACCTTCCCTTCAGGTGGTGCCCAATGCACATGTCATGCCTAGAGCACCTTATATGGGTCTCCGTGCTAGTCCTCTCAGGCAGTGAATCTGTTAGTGTGTATACCGACATATGAAGAGAATGTCAACTTTACTAAAACATATTATCCGGTCATCGTCTCTAGGCTGGATAAAGATTCCTTTTGTTTGGGGGTCCATATAATGCATCATTCAGCTGTGTTAAGGCTTTTCCATCAAGACATCAAGATACCAGTGGATGCCTCATCATTTTTTTTTCTGTCACATTTTTTGTTTCATGATATACAGAATATTTTGATACATTGTTTATAGTGTGTGGCTAATGCATTTATTGACCTCTGGCCGGAAAAATGGGAAAGTTGAAGTTATATGTCAATGTGTAACATATACAGCTTAAAATAGTGATATGCTAAATCAGTTTAAATGATTATAGACCTCTTGAAGATTTCAAAAGATTTAAAAACATGTATGCTATCAGTATTTGGATAGATATTCATTAAAATTTTTCTCGCTTATACTAGATGTGGAAACATTTCTGATTATTAACAATTTTGCCCATGTCAAATTGGATCTCATCCTTCAACAATTTTGTCATTGTGAAGAGAAAGAAACTGAATAAACATTAAAAGTAACAACTAAGACATCATATTATCTCAAGGTATTTTTTAATAATACATTTCATTATTGTTCTGGTTGAGTTGGCCAACAAACTGGCCAATATTATGTGTATTAATTAAGCATTTAACTTGTGAATATCACTGGGGGGTTTTCATTTTGTCCTTGTTCCTGGGTTGTTGTTTTTTTTCCCTTCAAAACAGTGAATATATCATGATAATTGATCTAAAGACTAGTTTCTTTTTATGTGTCTCTTTTTTACTTGCCATTTAGCCTTATGTTGTTGTTTTTTCTAGTTACAACTAAGCAGTCCACTAAAAAAGACTAATAGAAAAGCTTACAGATATTTAAAAACTTATGCTTATGTAAAACAAATTCACTCGGAAATAAGCCTCTGAATAATTTTTTTTAGATCTTATTGTTTTTAGTTGGCTTGTGAGTTGTCCATTTTATAGAATGTTTTATCTCAGAACAATTGAAAAGTGTTACTCTTCAGAACCTTCATACTCATCAAATCAGAATAAATTAAATCAAAGTTCTTCCCAAAAAGAAAGCTTCAATACTGTACTGATTTTTCAATTTTACCTTTTCCTTGTAGTCTTTAGTTGATCTCCACATTTTTTCCTGTAGACAGACTATAGTAGGCCTACATTCTTCCACAGCATTGTTCAGGACCAGTCACTTTTCCCTAGCTAACAAAGGAAATGATTTAAAATCCTTTTGTGATCTTTTTTTTTTTATATGTAAAGGAATGTTTTGCAAATATACATGGCACTCACACAGCAAATGTTTACAAAGAGTATGTAGTGTTTTAAGGTTGTTTAACACCTACTATTGCTTTATTATAAGCGAGTGGATGGAAACTTATGGATAGGTCTCATTTGGATGCTCTGAACGTGACAGTGTGCCACATTTGTCTGATTTTGAGGACTAATCTTGAGTTATAGGCTGGCTATATTTGTGATCCCATATTGCCCACATATCATAAATTCCCACATTTTGTTAATCCTAAGAAGGAGAAAACAATGTGTTACTGATGTATGTGCAATAATCCTTGCCTAGACACAATTTGCTTTCACAATGGTTCAATGATGCTTTCAAGTTTTTACTATTTATAATGATGTGATGTTTGTTTTTGTCATTGGTGAATTCAGCGTCGCACTCAAAATGAAAAAGAATGTTCTGATGACCAAGCTTGTGGTCCCACTTGAGATTTCGGGGGTGAAAGGAAAATATATTCAAAGAAGGAAAATAAAGCTGGAACCTCACAATGGGATTTAAACCCCAAATGTCAGCATGTCTCAAAAGTTTGTGTACGAACCTATCCACAGTTAACATGTGGATCAGTACTAGCCACTGGCTCTGTGGCAACTGGTAAAATTAGCCGTGCAAATATCTTTGGTACTTTTTTTGGTATGGGCATTGTATATATTTGTGATAAGCTCTCAGCAAGCTTCATTGTATGCTGAAAGATTTAGCCTACCTTTTGGGTTTTTACAACAGCTTGAATATAAAAAATTAAATGCATTACCAAAGGCTTAAAATTCAACCGGGACCTATGAAAGATCTAACAAACAATTTGGCTTTCACCAAAGAAAATTCAACATGGCAAAATGGTAGTTTTTTTCCCGTTACACAAATACATGTAATATATTTTAGTGACTACATAAATATCATAGTGAATGGGGTGAGAGAGAGAGAGAGAGAGAGAGAGAGAGAGAGAGAGAGAGAGAGAGAGAGACAGAGAGACAGACAGAGACACAGAGAGAGACACAGAGAGA